CGTGTTTATTTTTGTAGTATAGTTTTACAGACACCAGGACATTGGAACAACGGTAGTGAAGTGATCAAAGAGGAGAAAAGGTGGCGGTTCCAAGCCCCTGCTCCTAAACATTGACAAACTTTAAAGATAAACTGCAATGGGTTGCGAGTAAAATACTGTCTGCTTTTTCTTCAAACATTGTCCATGGTTCTGTTTTCTTTGTATGAGGTATCTTTCTGCGTGGTTTACGCTGTTTACAATAAAAGCTTAAACGTCAACGTTTAAAGCGATTTTTTTTTTCTTTAAAAGTTTCAGTTTCAAATTTAATTTGAGAATCAGCACGGCTCAGGCAATATCAACAGTCACTGAGGGTCGCGGTAAATATTGACGTGTGTTTGTTTCAACTGTTAGACAAGTCATACAATTATAGAGGAAGAGATAGACTAACATTTAGTCTCTGAAAACTTATATTACACAATATCCTTCTTGACTCTAAAAAAAAAAAAATTCCCTATGCTGATTTCAGAGACTGTGGAATAGAGCTAGCTTGAGCTGGCTAGACTTGCTTTTGTATGCATTTCTAGATTATTATTTTTTTCTCATAAAATAAATATATTCCACGGTCATGGTGCAGGACTAAGCAAGTGACTGTTTGGGCGCAAGCTGATCCTAAATAATTAGTGAAAATATATTAATTGAAAATCTGATTTTCCATATTTAGAACACATTTTTTTCTCCGTGAATGAAAATCATTTTCCTCAGTTTATTTATTATTCTAAATATATTTAACGTCCCTGATCTGGCAAATCTATTTTTTCTTTCAATCCTTTTGACCTTCGTGTGAAAAGAAATAGACTAAATCAACTTTTTTTAAACTCCTAATAAATAACTTTCATGTTTCTGTTGTTAACTATTAATGATTATGACACTGTATTTGAAACTAAGCGAACAAATATCTATAAAACGAAATGATTCGAGACAGTAAAATGAATATTCACATTTTACTTTCTGCCCTTCCGTTTCTTCCGTACTTACCGAGGCGAACCCAAGAAATGTCATGTTAATAAGTAAGCTAAACGTTTCAGCTACAGCTGCAACTGAATACAACTACAACACTGGCGAACAGTGCCGAAACATTGCTGAGTTACTGCCACAACACTGCTGAAACACTGTTATAACATTGCTGAAATACTGCTAAAACAATGCTGAACACTGCTAAAACATCGCTATGACATTGATGAACACCGATAAAACAGTTCTGTACACAGTTTCAACATTGATAAATATTGCTAAAACATTACACTGATACAACATTGCTGAACACTAGTGCAATATTGATGAATACGGCTAAAACATTACTGTATACAGCTTCATTATTAATGAATACGGCTAAAACATTGCTGGACACTGCTACCAAATTGTTGAAACACTGGTAAAACATTATATAAACATGGTTACAACATTGCTAAACACTGGTAAAACATTGATGAAACACTGTTACATCACTCCTGAACACTGGTAACACATTGATGAAACACTGTTACAACATTGCTGAACACTAGTAAAACATTGATGAAACACTATTACAACACTCCTGAACACTGGTAAAACATTGATGAAACACTGTTATAACATTGCTGAACACTGGAAAAATATTGAAGAAACACTGTTACAACATTGCTGAACACTGGTAAAACATTGAAGAAACACTGTTACAACATTGCTGAACACTTGTTAAACATTATAATTTTTTAATTTGAAGTTTACACGATATACGGCTTTTCCATTGGACGAGAGGTCGGTCACATGGCCGCGAAATTGACGTTCATAAGTGTATGAACGACACAATTTGACGTTCATACGTTTTTCACGAGACCGTGTTCTTGAAATGACGTAAACACTGACGGACTACTTCCACATTCCTGGGGAAACCCATGGGAATTCCCTAGCACGAAAACATACATAGGCGTTCTTTCTGATCATTTAGAACCTCTATTCTTGGTCTCAGCGTTTCAGTTTAATTTGAGAAATGTCAGAGAGCGTGACTGCATGATTGTTCACTTATATCCTCGCTACGGCCCATCCTAATCAACAAACGAAGAAATGCACATCTAAACTATCGTAGTATCGTCCGATTCGTGTCTAGGCGGAGACTGACCGTCTCCAGCAATCTATGAATTTACCTTAGTGTCTGTTTATCGCATCTTTATTCACCTTTCAATGATCGGCCAGTTGATCAATGATGACTAACACATGTAACCGCCACAGGTTCATTAACAACTTCGGAAATCTCTCCCGTCACATTATCGTGTCGGCCATTTTGACGTCTTGTACTGGGTGTAAATGTATTACGACGCGCTGTCATTGTGACTGACTTACTGATGTAGCTCTTTACAGACCTTTCTCATCTAATGAGGATATGATTTGAACACATGTGCTGCGTAAGATGTTTCTGAAGAGCAAGTTGTGCATCCATACGCCCATGTCACCTCTCTTTTTGAGGAACTATTTCACTCCGCGATATAGCTGGTTGTTGTATGGTTGTTGTGAAGTCACACGTACTAAATAAAATTGTGTTTAGACCTTGGCCTACATCCTTTGAGGTAAGACATTGTGATCAAACAATTATAAGAATTGACTTTCACTTTGAGGGAGTGAAAACACGGTGCTTGGATGCACGGGCGAGGGCTGGGCGGTTCGTGATGGATATAGGACGCCAAGGCTGTTTTAGACACAAAAGACTGTATTTCTGTTGGTCAAGCACATGGTCAACACTCCTGGTTGGAGGCTGCCATTTTGGTACATATGGAAATTGGAAAATGGTAAAGGAAACGAAATCAAATATAACAAAAGTGGAATTAGACAACGAAACGAAATAATAGACATTTGGGCTCAAAAGGCTTTCTGACACGGCCGCCCGTCAATTTGTCAATATCTAAAGAAAGTCTTTCCACACTGGAACTAGAGTCAATTATCGTCATCCGCACATTCCGGTAGTGGGATGTGTCTTGTGATTGTTCTGGTGTACTCCTTGTCTTTCACACTGACAGTGGCAGTGCGAACACATCCATCTGTTCCGGGGTAGGTTTTTGTGACTCTACCAACAGGCCACTGAGCTCTTAAGAGCTGTGGATCAACTATCATGACAACGTCATTCATCTTCAAGTTTTGTCTCTCTTTCTGCCATTTTGTGCGCAGCTGCATATCAGGAAGATAATATTTGACAAAGTGTACCCAAAAGTGGTCGGCCAGAACTTGACTGTGGCGCCATCTGCGTCTGCTTAAAAGTTCATCAGCTGGATAGACGACTTGTGGAAGAGAAGCATCATGGCGGCCAATCAGCAGGATGTTTGGTGTAACTGGGTCCACATCTCTGACATCTGATGAAACGTAGGCTAACGGCTTAGAATTCAGAATCCCTGCCACCTCCCCTAGAATGGTACGTAACACAGGTTCTGTCACTGTCTGATCTCCTAGTGCCACTCGGAGGCCATATTTCACAACATTTAATCTCTCTTTCCCAAACACCTCCGAAGTGTGGTGCATGAGGAGGATTGAACACAAATCTGACCTTATGGCGAGCCAGTTGTTCAGCAAGGTCTGGTTCCATACTTGCAAGTGCCTCCTGCAACTCTGTTTTAGACCCTCGGAAATTTGAACCTTGGTCTGAGATGATTTCGTAAGGTTTGCCTCTCAGTGAAGCGAAGCGGCGAAATGCCATGAGGAATGCATCCGAGTCCATGCTCCTGAGTATGTCTAAATGCACCGCACGGGTGGTCATACATTTAAATATCAAACCCCATCGTTTCTCTGAGCGACGTCCAACCTTCACATGCATTTGTCCGAAGCAATCAACTCCCTTTGAGAAGAATGGTGGTTTGAAAAGTCCCAGACGTGGTGGTGGCAAGTCAGACATTTTCTGTGTCCTCGGGTTTGAGCGCCATTTCTGACAGATGGAACACTGACGCTGATGGCGTCGAATCGCTTATCGTCCCCTCAATATCCAAAATCTGTGTCTTATCTCTGCGAGTATACGCTCCTGCCCATAGTGTAAGAGCTTCTCATCTTGATCCCGGATGATCAACTTTGTTATAACATGTTGTGGGTCAAGAAGAATTGGATGTTTGATGCCTGTATTTAGAGATTCAGCTCTCTGTAAGCGTCCTCCTACTCTGATCAGATCTGATTCTGCATCATAGATAGGGTCAAGCTGGAGGAGCCTGCTGTCTGGAGGCAATCGTTTACCTGATTTTAGTGCTGTGAATTCCTGGGGGAATGATTCTATTTGCACTAGTTGATAGAGATGGTTCTCTATCTGTTCAAACCGTTCAGCGGTCAGGGGTTGAGCATTTTCCGGGATGGCCGCACCATCAAAGGACTCATTAACATCACCCACAAACACGTCCCAGGATGAGTACTGATCTGCATCTGGCAGCTGAGGTGTATTCACAACAATTGTGCCACACATAACAGATTTCTTTATCTCTGTATTGTCAGAGTCTATTGTCACTGGGGTAACTGGCCAATGATCAGGTGTCTGGCGCATGAATTCTGGCCCATCTTTCCACCGCGATTCCTTGCTGAGTTCTCTGTGCAGTTTGCCTGGAGTAATGTCATCGGCAGGATTTCTCTGTGTGTCAACATATCGCCAGTTCTGTACATCTGTGAGATTCTGGATTTCTGAAACTCATGTTCCAACGAATACCTTGTATCTGCATGATTCTGACTTTAGCCAACCAAGTACAGTAGTAGAGTCACTCCACAATATCACTTTCTGGATTGGCAAAGTTATTTCCTTGCTCAACACATCAGCTAGCTGAGCACCAGTGAGGGCTGCACATAGTTCTAGGCGTGGCATAGACAGTTGTTTCTTTGGGGAAACCTTTGATCGCGCCATAAGGAAACTGACATAGATGTTTGCTCCTTCGTCTGTTGTGCGCAAGTATGCTACTGAACCATACACTCTTTCAGAAGCATCACAAAAGATGTGTAGTTGTCGGTCTGCACTTCCAGAGTCCACGCTATGGGGTGTGTAACACCTTGGTAGAGTGATCATTGGGATTTCTTCTAGCTCTAGATCTTTCACAGATGTCCCCCTTTTCTATAGGGTCATTCCAGTTTCTCTTTGACTTCCACAAGTCCTGTACTATGATTTTGGCTCGTGCAAGGAATGGTGCCAAGTAGCCGATGGGATCATACTGACTAGCAAGAACCCTGTAGATCACTCTCATGGTAAGCTCTTCATACTCTATGGTTCTGTGTTTGTAGGTGAGCTCATCAGATTCACAGTTCCAACGCAAGCCTAGGGCTGGCTCCAGTGAGTCACCCTGGCCGAAGGTAAGCCAAAGTTCTGTATTTTCCGATCTAGCATCGGACGGAAGGTCTGCCACAACGGATGGAATATTGCTGGTCCACTGCCTAATGTTGAAACCACCTTGTGCAAGCAAGTCTCTCATTTTCCGTACAAGTTCCTTGGCTTCTGTTGCTGTAGGTAGGCTATGCAAGCAATTGTCAACATAGAATGATTCCTCTACAGATTTGAGTACTTCTTCATTGCCAGCTTTGTGATCCGAGACATGTTTCCATAAAGCATAGCTGGCACAACATGGCGAGCAGGTGGTGCCGAATGGTAGGACTTGCCATTCATACACATCTGGAGGGCGATCATGTTCCATGTTTCGCCAAATGAAACGCAGAAGAGGTTTGTCACGAGAAAGCAGTCTTACTTGATGGAACATGGCTTTTATGTCTCCTGATTTCGCAACTGCATGCTGCCGGAACCGAAGAAAGACACCCAGCAGTGATGATCCGACTGTTTGCCCAGGCAGAAGGTGCTTGTTCAAGATTTGGCCGTTGTGCTCAAAGGAGCAGTTAAATACCAGGCGAAACTTCCCATTGTGTTCAACAATGTGGTGAGGAAAATACCAGGATTCTTCTGATTTCTCCACTTCCTCCTTGGTGAGTTTCTTTACATATCCTGCCTCAACTAGCTTCTGGATTTGGTCATTGTGGATTCTTGAAAGGTCCGGACGATCTCTAAGTCGCCTTTTAGTGCGCCTGAGTGTAGGCATAACCATTTGTTGATCTGTTTTGAAGCAGGTTCCATCCTGTGTGCGTAACAGTAGGGTGGCATAGTGACTAACACCATCGACATCTATCCTGACAGTTTCAGATTCTAGAGTCTCAATTGCCTGTTTATCCTGCTTGGAGCGTGTCACGTTTCTCGGTGAAAGGCAAAGTGTCGATTTGCCACAATCGCTCAATGTTCTCAACAAGATCTGAATTATTGGTGCTGTGTATGAGCATACACTTGGTGTTCTCTGGTCCAGATTCACTAGATAAACCCTGGAGGGACCAACCGAGTTTGGTAGACACCGCTATAGGCGCATTGATGGGTCCAAACTGAACTGGTTCATTGGGAAGAATGAGATGGGCATTGTCCGATCCAATGAGAATAGTTGGCCGAGCTCCATCAATGTTAGGTATTGGTAACTTTTGCAAATGCGGCCACTGCCTTTGCAGGGATTCAACAGGATATGTGTACTCGGACATACACAAGTTATCTGCAGTGAAGGCACCCTTAATCTTGTACCTGATGTTTGGTTTGCTGATAGGAGATATTTGCAGGTCAACTGAGTGTCCATTACACCTGAATGGCTCCTTGTTGATTGTGGTAAGCAATATACTGTCCGACTTTGTCTGAAGTTTTAGGTCATGAACGGTTGATTGTAACACCATAGTTCTCATGGAACCGTCATCCAAGATTGCATGAGTCTCCATCATACCACTTTCACCATAAAGCAACACTTTGACCACCTTTAGCATGACATTAGGAGGATATGAGGGTTGATCAGTGTACACTTTGTCTGTACTGACTTTCACAGAATACACTTTGGAGGCTGCCTGCTCTATAGCCTCATGCAAGACAGTCAAGTGCACTTCCTTACATATGTGACATGGTTTCTTGAGGGTGCACATGTCTGGCTGATGTGTGCGCCCACATTTCCAACATCACTTGCCGTCATGTAACCAGTCATGTACCTGGTTCATTGTTAGTTTCTTCAATCCTGGACATATATTCAGGAAGTGTTCATTGCTGTTACAGTATGGACAGAAAGGCTTGGTCACGTGACTCCTAGCAGAAGATCCAGGTTTTTGTTCAAATGGTTTGGATTCCCTTGCATAGAATAAAGCCGTAAGTGCAGACCTCTTCTGACTTGTTCGTGACGGATACCTCCTGTCAGGTTTAGTACTCTCCATTTTGTATAGCGCAGTGGCCTGGTTAGCTATACGGTTTGCACGTGATTTTGTCTGCAGCCAGTCTGACAAATGACACAATGTGTAGGTCTGGTCACTGTCAGCCTTGAGGATATCACGGTTGATACAATGTTCTACAAAACTATCTCGATAACCTGGGGGTAGCTTGCCAATCAGGCGGTCAACATGTGACCCACATCTCAGTTCATAACCAGTCTCTCCCTCAAGTGACTTGAGCATACCGACAAGGGAATGGACTGATAGGGCAAAACTGTCAAACCCATCAAAGTCACCATATCTTAGTGCTGGCATGTTCATGAGTATACCAATCTCACTTTGTACAAGTTGTCTCGGCTGACCATACTTGTCCTTTAGTGCTTGCAAGGCTGCTGTGAAAGGTTTGGGATCATGCATAAATGCCTCAGGTAGGCGCTTCGCACTGCCTCCAAGTTTGTCAAGTAAAACTTGGTATTTGTATTGTTCCGTAAGGTGTGGATGAATATTCACCAGGTTATCCAGTGCCATCTTAAGCAAGGCAAAGTCCTTTTCTCTTCCACTGGTGAAATTGGGTAATGTTGGTCTTGGTATGCCATAAGATGAGGAAATCAACAGTTCGGTGAGGTTAGGTGTGCCAACCTGAGGTATCATACCAGTAATCACTGGCGGTTGTGTTCCTTGTTCGGTTGGAGGCAATGTTGGATTATCTGGTTGGAGCGCTTGATGCTGTTGTGGCTGTGACTGTTGATATGGCATATTCGGTAACAGAAACAATGGCTGAGGCACTACCATTGCTGGTGGAAAACTTACCTGGGGGTTGCTCCTTGGATATGAACCAATACCAGTACCATAACCCACCAGTGAAGGTTGCTGTGTAAGTACACCAGTGGCTGTTGGGAAAGTACTTGACATGTCGTTTGTTGTGATTTGTTGGGCACTGGTTAACATCTGACCTTGAAAGTGGTCATTCTGTCTGTATATTGGCATACAAGTTGTCAGGTTACCAGGATAAGGGTTGATCCCTTGATGAAGTACACCAGGATGAACTCTGTCAGATGGATCTGGGCCCCGCTGTATCTGGTTCCCAAGGGTTTGACTGTCACCAGAGGGTAGAATTTGGGAGGTGTCAGGAATTGTAAGCTGCTCTGTATTATTTGTGTTACTTACATTGCCAGACTGAATGGCATTAGGGTCAGCAGTAGGTGGGACCTGTCGAGTTACTGACTGTATTTGAATGTTACCATCGAAACTTGGTTGTTCCGTTAGTTCCTCTGGAGGTTGTACATTTTCTGCATTGCTGTTGGGGTCTTCATTTACCATGGTAGCAGTTAGGGTTGCTTCAGCAAAGTTCTGTTGAGCTTGTCTCAGTTGTCTCTGTCTTGACAGTTGAGTATTAAGTACCTCTCTGCGGCGAATAGCGTCACGCTCTATTTCTTCTGTCCGTCTCTTAGCGGCATTCACCTCATCCTCAGCGGCTAAGCGTGCAGTATAGGCCTGGTCATCTAATGCCTGCAATTGCTCATCAACTCTGAAATCCTCCTGCATCCTAAGCACGAGTTTGTCAAGCTGAGCTACTGTTCTTTGCTGTCTTACCACTGCAGACTGAGATTCACTTAGTCCAGATATCACAGAAAGTTTTGAGGACTTACTTCTTGAATCAAGTGACCTTTCACTGTGACTAAGACTATGTGATCTGGAAGATCTAACAGTATTAGTATCTGGTTGTAACGCCATGCCTTCAGATGATTTACCTCAAAATTAAAGTATTTGAATCTGTAGCTTGTCGATATGTTGATGATGACGTGACAAAGATTGGCTGCCGGGCTTAGAACTTACAACACAGGTTCAACTTTGAATGACAGTTGCAGGAGTACAGTTCTAGAATCAGTTAAGTAACAGTTGCATATGGCGAACGTGACTTGGTAACAGGATATTTGGCACGAGATATATACTGTCTCATGATTGAATGTGGGGTTTACCATTCACTGGCGGGATGGGTAATGCGTACGTACAGCGCACTGTTTATATTTGGAATTTGGCGTCACCTGGTTATTGTATCCGCCTCGCTGGACCATGAAAACACGGTGCTTGGATGCACGGGCGAGGGCTGGGCGGTTCGTGATGGATATAGGACGCCAAGGCTGTTTTAGACACAAAAGACTGTATTTCTGTTGGTCAAGCACATGGTCAACACTCCTGGTTGGAGGCTGCCATTTTGGTACATATGGAAATTGGAAAATGGTAAAAGAAACGAAATCAAATATAACAAAAGTGGAATTAGACAACGAAACGAAATAATAGACATTTGGGCTCAAAAGGCTTTCTGACAGGGAGTTCATTGGATTATGAACCTTCATAGAGTGAGGGCCAAACATTGTATGAACGTCGCAAGCTCCGACGTTCATACAGTTTGGCCCTCACTCTTTGAAGGTTCATACTCCAATGAACTCACACAAAGTGAAGGTCAATTCCTAAGAAGAAACACTGTTACAACATTGCTGAACACTGAACACAATTACAACACTCCCGAACACTGGTAACACAATGATAAAACACTGTTAAAACATTGCTGAACACTGGTAAAACATTGACGAAACACTGTTACAACACTGCTGAACACTGGTAAACATTGACGAAACACTGTTTCAGCACTGCTGAACACTTGTAACAAATTGATGAAACACTGTTACAACACTCCTGAACACTGGTAAAACATTGAAGAAACACTGTTACAACATTGCTGAACACTGGCAAAACATTGAAGAAACACTGTTACAACACTCCTGAACACTGGTAAAACATTGAAGAAACAATGTTACAACATTGCTAAACACTGGTAAAACATTGAAGAAACACTGTTACAACACTCCTGAACACTGGTAACACATTGAAGAAACACTGTTACAACATTGCTGAACACTTGTAAAACATTGAAGAAACACTGTTACAACATTGCTGAACACTGGCAAAACATTGATGAAACACTGTTACATCACTCCTGAACACTGGTAAAACATTGATAAACACCATTACAACATTGCTGAACACTGGTAAAACATTGACGAAACACTGTTACAACATTGCTGAACACTGTTACAACATTGATGAAACACTGTTACAACATTGCTGAACACTGTTACAACATTGATGAAACACTGTTACAACATTGCTGAACACTGGTAAAACATTGAAGAAACACTGTTACAACATTGCTGAACACTGGCAAAACATTGATGAAACACTGTTACAACACTTCTGAACACTGGTATAACATTGAAGAAACACTGTTAGAACATTCCTGAACACTGGTAAAACATTGAAGAAACACTGTTACAACATTGCTGAACACTGTTACAACATTGATGAAACACTGTTACAACATTGCTGAACACTGTTACAACATTGATGAAACACTGTTACAACATTGCTGAACACTGGTAAAACATTGAAGAAACACTGTTACAACATTGCTGAACACTGGTAAAACATTGAAGAAACACTTTTACAACATTGCTGAACACTGGTAAAACATTGAAAAAAACTGTTGCTACATTGCTGAACACTGGTAAAACATTCATGAAACACTGTTACAACATTGCTGAACACTGGTAAAACATTGATGAAACACTGTTACAACACTGCTGAACACTTGTAACACATTGATGAAACACTGTTACAACATTGCTGAACACTGGTAAAACATTCATGAAACACTGTTACAACATTGCTGAACACTGGTAAAACATTCATGAAACATTCCTGAGACACCGATGAATACGACTTAACATTATGAACACAGTTAAAACATTGCCAAAAT